TATCTTCACCTCCATCACTTTCGCCAACCTGCTTTATCAATCATTGTGAAGACTCTTAGTCAATTTACGCCTAAGTTGCTTTCACTCCTCATTATGGTGGCCAGAGTCAGGTGAAATGAGTCTTTTTGCATCACTCACTTCGGATGAGGTTACAGAAATCAGCTGGCTTTCGCTAACCTTCAGATGTAGGCGATCTACTTTCTTTACCGCTGTTTCTACAGACTGAATATCTCGCCAAGGTTCATCAAGAGAATTGCTGCCATGTTCAAATAAATACTTCGCCGTCTATTTGAATGCGCACTTAATGTTCTTATCTTCAAGTCGAGAACCCAAAGACTTCACTATTCTGTCTTTTCTCAGTGTCCGTGAAGGTGAAAACATGCATGCATGATCAGAGCCCAAGGAGGTACCCCATGAAGAGCGGTAATCTTATGAGAATCCTCTCCTGCGATGACCATTAGCAATGTAATCTGTATCAGTGGTTGGTTTGAATTCAGTGGATTCCAGGTTAGACAGTGTTTTGCCTTTGGCTTAAAGCTAGTGCTGATCAGAAACAAATGGTTGTTGGAACAAAAATTTTGAGAGACGATCACCGTTATCGGTTCTTTGGCGTGGGATACCGTAGATCCCTCCCAGATGCGTCTTTCTCTCTCTCCAGTCGCTGAATTAGCCTTGTACTGCTACTATATCTGAAAGCTTCGCATTTCGTGGGGAATTGAAAGCTTTCGGTGGAATCGTCTATATTGCAGTCCGTGGGCGTGGAGGCCATGTTGATATAAACGCTTCGCTATATCCTCCCTAAATGCACATTTTATTAACTCGTTTTCTAGTCCAAGACAGAGCCTTCATTGATGTTTGTATACTACGTTTATTAAGGTGCCAACATAAATGTACTTCTGGTAGCGCATGATTAGTGTCCAAGCTGGTACGCCAGTAACGGCTTCAATCCTCTTCCATCATGACTTATAACAATATCATCAGAAGGTGCCCATTTCACCGTTTGATTTTACAGAGATTGATCTCATCACAGGAGAATCCTTAGTACACTCAGAGTACGCAGAGAAAACCTCCCAGATAGGTGAAGGCACTGCCAAGAGGCAGAGTATTTATATACCTGAAGTAGAAGTATGATTCTACCCATCTGGACACAGTAGAATACAACTCAGTATACTAGTCCTTTAATATATGTTCGGACATATGGCTGGCTCTGGAGATGACACAAGTTGGCAACTGCAAAACAAGGCTTTCATATCTGCGCTGAGACTTCGTCAGCAGTTGATGTCACTCTTAAAGTGGGTAAAGTAGTCAATACATTCTACAACTTGATTCCTTGTTCTTAAACTGGGAATAATTCCAGACCACCAGTCCTGAAAGATCATCTTGAATTTAACGGAAGCAAAACGCATGTCAAACATGCTCCGGATTTCGCTCCAGGCCTTCGTGAGACATTTTTTGAATGCCTTCATCTAACATGACTGGTGTCCAAGCCGATACTTCAGAAACAGCAGCAATCCTCTTCTATCATGACTAATGGCAATATCATTAATTTGTGTTCATTGTTCGTTTGAGATCGACGGATGCCTGGTAAGACTGTCCCTCGTTACATGTGAAGTTAGTGCTGGCCCGGACTAAGTGACTACCAAAACAAAATTGTAAGAAACGATCACCATCGTCAGTTCATCGGCATGAGATACCATCTAGATACCTTTCCGATAAAATTAGTGTACCCACCTGAGCGTTAAAGTCGCTTGCAGATGTATGAATATTTTGCTTTATGTAGAGAAACTGACAGCTTTTGTGGAACTCACCTCTGTATCATCCAAACCTGTCAATGGATATGTAGTCGGAAACTACGGATAAACATTGGAGTGCCACCATCCTTCTCACTTATTACAGATTCTTGTAGTCAAACAACACAGACATTTTTTGAGTGGTATAAAGTCAAGAAATGCACTTCGTGCACAGTAGCTTAGACAACTGCACAAGTAAGTCCACGAAAGCCAAACATTGGTACTCTAGACTCCCGTAAAAAGAATTCCGCAGAACCCCCAGGCTTATTAAGTAAATTCCTGTAATCCATGGTTCTAGATTCCAGAGTTCTGCCAAGAGATACCAGTTGCTGGATTCGGGATAGGTTTTGGCAGTTGAGAACTTCAACGTTAAAATGGCAGGAGGGTTTTAGGAGATTAGCAATGGTGTTTCGCTAGTGTTGATTGTTCACCGTGATCTCAGTTAGAGGCTGAGGAATTCGTACAGCCTTAATATTGGTGTCAGAAAGTAGAGATAAAGGAAGAGAAAAAGATAAGGAGAATTGCTTATTTTTACTGCTGGAAGCGTGCGAGCGGTTGATACTTTCCGGTTGCCCACACTGTAGAAGTTATTTCTGTAGGGTACCTGAAGGCAAAACAAAAGACATTTGAGTGACCGCAAGGCCTATGGGAAATCCGCTCGACACCTGCCACGTATGACCTTTTTGTGATTGTTGGATTGAGATTTAATCTATCAGTTTCCTTTTAATTAAGTTTAGTCAACTTCTGCATAATCTTTGAATTTGCAACCGGCCTTTATCCTCTGTTGTGGCTTGAAGCAGTGTTTAGCAATTTCACCATCTTAGGTCTCTGTTGCCCCTGTCGTCTGCTGCAAAGATATGCATTAGGAGTGGGTGGTATATTCCTACCATTTCAATTGATGCTGGTTCGAAATTCTCGTGGTACTGATGTGTCAATGCAATATCATCATCTAAGACCCAGTATAGTATCGTTCTCCATTTTGTATCTTCCTAAGACTTCTGATAATATTACTTATTGTTGTTTTCTGACCTGGTATTTTGATGTGCTGGTGTAATATCGGGCGACCTGGATCATTACGCAATGTTTCCAGACCTCATTTCGATTTTGACTATTGAGTTTTAGCTATTGACGAAACTCAGTCTACTCGTTGCAAAGTCGACAGTGTAAAGCATCTGATGTGAAGTATTGCGGTGATGTAAACTATGTCATTTACACACGAGGCAAATATTAGTTTTAGCGTACAGACTTCGCTGCAAACCTATGAACTTCGTATGTTAACATGTTATCCTACATAGATTGCTATACTAGTTTTCGAGACATTGCAAACTGCTGTTCGTAATCAGGCGGAGCTATATGTTAAGGGTGTTTGTACAGATGTAGGAATTAGAATGTAGGAGCGTTCGAAACTGCCGTTAACAGTTCTCACTGTACTATTCATTCGAAGAGCTCACATTGTTCTGTTGTAAAATTAATAATCGGTTGATGTAATCAGTGTCAGTCACGAGATATTATTGAAAAGAATAACAGCTTGTCAGGACACCAGTAATACTCCGCTGGCTTATATTTGAATGTGGCTGAATGTTAAGAATTATTCCGTATGATACATTTGACTAACACTAATTTCGTCAAACCAGAGTAATGTGGTTCTTTTGTTTTGCGGTTAGTTCCGGTTGTTATTATAATAATAAATTGGTAGTATTTTGGAAGCATAATTCAGTGTTTATCATAAGTTACCAAGCCCATTTCAGAGCTGGAGGACTGTCATCACTACAGCTACCAAATGGATTCGAGATTTAGTGAGAGTGAGTAAAATGCTCCCCGATATCTCTGAGCTAGAGGGATTTCCGGATGGGTTTCGTTTTTATACGGCTTTCTATAGTTATTTATTAATAACTACGAGGCTAACTGATGTATACAATCCAATTCTGCGTTAAGTCAGTCGTATAACTGATGAATTGCCGTTTCTTACTGCACTACTCGATAATATGGGTTGAAATACGTGAGATTATATTGATTCACCATGGGTTTAAAACGCATCTTTTTGCTGAGCACTTGCAGTCACTAAACTCAAATCCAGGTTTTCATCATATTTAGTGTGACCTCTGGCATGGTATGGAGTATTTCAATGAACAAACAATTAAAGTGACTGTAAATGGTGATGACAAAGATTTAAGTGGCTGGAAGTAATTGAACCAGTTGGCTGTATTTTTGAACGCATTATGTTCGATTTGTCTTGGTTAAAAGGGATAGTCTTTAGGCGATTAATTGATAAATTCTAGAGAATGCTTGCAACTCGATATATGGGTGACTGTGTAAGTAGCTGGTAAATCTATTGCCGCAAGTCCAGAGGGTGATAGCTAAGCGCCGTGTATTCAACCATCGACCCTTGGATTCCAGGTGCAAGAATACTCATGACCATATTGTCCAGGAGCACCGAATTTTGTAAAGTCGGATTCTATATTTGAGACCAATACACTGAAGTGACATATAGCTGCTACACCACGCTATATATCGTAGCGCATAACTATAGTAGTTACCATAACTGTGTACCAGTACTACCTTCTGTATGAGATTTAAAGTTGATTTCTTATTCTGACTGCTCTAATTCTGCCACCTTCAAGAGTTCAGCCTTGGCAGTTTGATTCATTTGTGTAGCAGCGTACTGACAGCTTGATAATAATACCTATAATGAAGTGTATTAGTATCAGAACTTTCAAGATAACTAATAACTTACGTTGATGAAGCTTACCACAAGGCTGAAGTTATGAGTGATAATGCTTTGTCTAGACTCGTAACCGGTAGTTACGTGTTGTAACCCCTATACGTTTAGCAGTAAAAGCGTACAGGCTTTGTTGTTTAAAACATTTCTGATGATGCTGATGTAATTATGCCGTCATGCATTCGATTAGTGACATATATTCCTATTTCTCTTCAATTCACTCAAGTTAACAGATGTGTCCATGTTTCCTTCTTCTCAGAGTTTAAAGTCAACTAACATCATTTTGTAACTTAGCATTAAAAACATTGAAGATTTCATCTACGTGCTTTCATGAAATGTTGCAACTTGAACCACTACACTCTGTCGTAGTTCGTTTATTGAATGTATCACACAGTGGTCATCGATCAGGTAATTTGGTGAATAGATTACTTCTTTTTTTGATTTTCATACTTATCAGTCATGTACTTAATTGACTTTTCTCTTTCCTCTAGTCATATGATGCGTGGCATCCACTTGAAAAACAACAATATCCTGACTTCTTTGCAAAACGGGAAAAAAATAAAGAGGAATTTATGAAGGATTGGGTAAAACGTTATGGTCCTATTGAAGAGTAGCCTAGCTATATTGTTATCTTGTAGTTTTGATTTTCCACGATCATGCCAAATAAAATTCTTTAAAGTACTACTCGTATTTCGTCTTAGCATTTCCCCGTTGGCTAGTATATGAGGAAAAAATTGTCTCGGGGACTGACATCAGCTAAAGAGCTGGCAGACGCTCGTTTTCATTTGGAACCTCAGTAGTGCATACCGTCATTTGCGTACATAATATAACTGAGGAGATTTATGGCTTTGGATTAAAACATATAGGTATTGGGATGCAATTCAGTTCTTCGGCACTTTCTGCGTCATGCACTTGAAGTTTGATCCAAGCATCTATCTTCATTATCGACTTGACTTTTTTTTGATGAGTCGAAGTGATGACTTTTTCGGTAAATACAACCGTGGTATCTAAATTGATATTAAGGATTGCTAATATTCTTTCCAACGTATTTATTATCTCAAGCGGGTTAATAATAAGTGAGGTTGAATAATTCACTGTGCACATTTCATGATTTTGTTTGCAGTTTGAGTCTTATGACGATGGAACGTAAAATAAGCTATATAGATATATACATAGTAGTTTATTCAGTTGGTGAAAGAAACTAGTTTTCGTAGGTTTAACAGGAACTACGTGGCTTTTTTGTTGGGTCTGTATACAATGTCATCAGGTAACTAATTTGTGCACATAATTCAATCGTACAAAAAATAAGTTCTCTAAATTCTGCACTCAATCTACAAAGAAATCTGGTTTTCATCAAGGTTGGAGATACATCCCGTTGGCAAGTGTCAAAAACTAAAAAATGGATATCTTTAGCTTCCCATCGATTGACTCCTATCAATGTAATGCAGTGTCATGTGATCACTCTTGGTGACCACAATGAAAACTTCATCGACTGACCTCTAATAACACTAAGGATTTAACAGATTATGTATTAGTTAACATCCAGAGAACAGTTTATCCTTGCGAAATTCAAGTTCATATAGTTAACCTTGAGCTGTTGCTCAATGGTGTACGAGGTTATCTTTCAACCAATGGGTCATTGGTTTGAACACCACTTCAGCTAATAAGGTCCAGACAACCAGGTTGTTTCATTAGTTTGTTGCCTACTGCACGAATGTGCACAAGGTTACTGAGTGCATCTCTATATACAGTTAACAACTGTATATTTGAGTGGTAGTTTCAAAGGATTTTTCGTCTTTCAGAAAGATGATGGTAGAACTACAATAATTTACGAAGTTATTTCATACTCATACACATCGGATCAGTGTTGAGATCCAGCGAGCATCCGAATGAGGTTATTTGAAAAAGTTTAACTAACAATTGGTTTCTTTTTATCAAAAAGGAGTGTCTGTATACTAACGTTGTCATATCTTTTGTAAACACTTGGTTGCTTCTACTATTTTCATGTATAGGGGATGCTCTTACCGTATGCACTAACACGGTGTTATAAGCAAAGTGAAGTAAAACAGTTCAACTTTTCCAAAGACTGGGTATGGAGAAGTAGATCAAGGATAAACACAATGTTTTAAAAGTCTGAATTTCATTCGTTATGAGAGTTATTATTTCATATGATGGCTATAAAAACATCACAAGTGGTATACTGAACATCATCTCTGCGATGAACACAGGAAATCCATCGTATATAAAACCACATAGAAGCTATTCAAAATATTGACTGCCTTCGACAATTTTTTAAAAATTGTTTGCTATTTCTGACATTGTTTCACCTTTTCACCTTATTTCACTGTAAAAATACTGTAGACAATCATAATGGACTAATTGAAATTTTTCGGCATTTGACTTCTTTGTATTTGTATTACAGATGAATTGTTGAAAGTAGTCATTTTCAGGCCGTGGCTGAAAACTTGAATATCAGGATTACATTCCTAAAAAGACAGTGTGACAAGGCTAAAGTAGATATCACATAGACTTTGCAGTCACACAGATATTTTTCTTTTTGAGGTACCCTGCAGAAATAAGTTCTATTTGAGCAACCGGGAGGTACCAACATAGCGCACGCTTCCAACAGTAAGCAAAACCCTATTCTAAGTCTCCGTCTGTGCGTCTGCTGACTGTGATTTGGATGAAGCAGAGGTGAGTTCCACAAAAGCTGTCAGTTTCTCTACATAAAGCAAAATATTCATACATCTGCAAGCGACTTTAACGCTCAGGTGGGTACACTAATTTTATCGGAAAGGTATCTAGATGGTATCTCATGCCGATGGACTGACGATGGTGATCGTTTCTTACAATTTTGTTTTGGTAGTCACTTAGTCCGGGCCAGCACTAACTTCACATGTAACGAGGGACAGTCTTACCAGGCATCCGTCGATCTCAAACGAACAATGAACACAAATTAATGATATTGCCATTAGTCATGATAGAAGAGGATTGCTGCTGTTTCTGAAGTATCGGCTTGGACACCAGTCATGTTAGATGAAGGCATTCAAAAAATGTCTCACGAAGGCCTGGAGCGAAATCCGGAGCATGTTTGACATGCGTTTGCTTCCGTTAAATTCAAGATGATCTTCAGGACTGGTGGTCTGGAATTATTCCCAGTTTAAGAACAAGGAATCAAGTTGTAGAATGTATTGACTACTTTACCCACTTTAAGAGTGACATCAACTGCTGACGAAGTCTCAGCGCAGATATGAAAGCCTTGTTTTGCAGTTGCCAACTTGTGTCATCTCCAGAGCCAGCCATATGTCCGAACATATATTAAAGGACTAGTATACTGAGTTGTATTCTACTGTGTCCAGATGGTAGAATCATACTTCTACTTCAGGTATATAAATACTCTGCCTCTTGGCAGTGCCTTCACCTATCTGGGAGGTTTTCTCTGCGTACTCTGAGTGTACTAAGGATTCTCCTGTGATGAGATCAATCTCTGTAAAATCAAACGGTGAGAGGGCACCTCCATAAGAACGTCTTTGATAAAGTCGATTGAAGATAGACGGCATCCTGATATACACAGGTAACCATATGCTCTAGCACTCCCTCAGGTAATTGACCACAGAGCTTTCAACAGACTTACCCTACCTGGTATATGGAAGACACTGTCATAAAACCTATCTGTCTTGATGTGCGGCTGTGAGGAGTAATCGTTGAAAGCACAGGGTGTGAAGAGTTTACAGGTTTTTGACCGTAGATGTCTTCGTAGCACTTCTCACACGTAGTAGAATCTGTGTGGGCAATGTCGAAGTCAGGCGAAGGGTACTAGGCTAGTCAGTTTATTAAGTTGTGATCCTTTAGTGACTGAGATGGCTTGGACATGTGTTGGGCATGATGAACTACCACCTATCTCGACGTTTAATAATAACCGAGGTTGGATCAAACTGGAAGATGGCTCGGGGTGGCCGAACTAAGACGCTGTATCAATCCATAAATCTCTGACTGTTGGTCTTAGCTGTGTAGGGAGGTGTTAAGAGCCTGGCTGAGGTCGTCGAGAAAGTAGGAACAAATTGTTGGGGACTTTCATATCACTGTTTTTGTACCCACTTGTTCTTTTCATGCTACTTTGATGTGAGAAGACTTGATTCGATGCACTTCTATGCAGGCTTTTTCCCTGATTTTGTCTTTCTGTCTGTCTATGTCGTATATATCTCACACAGGTACATCGGTTCAAGTTGCCACACTTCATAGTAGTACACAAAGTACAGGTGGATAGAAAAAGACTGATATCAAAGAAGACGAAGTTGTGTCAGAAAATAAACAATCTGAAGATAAAGATTGGTACAGATAGTCAAGCTTTCGGAGATGGGAAGGAGTGAATCCATCTACGCCGTTGTGACTGATTTTCATCCGTGTCACCAAGAGTCATCAACCGCTGACTCGTTTCGTTTCGAAGACCTTAACCAGCCAGTCTACAACTCCCAACACGGCTCAAGACAACAGTGAGGTATTTAATTGACTGGTCATACGTGTTAGTTCGGCCGCTCTGAACCCTCTTCCAACGTAATCCAACTTCCTCTAGCTTAGGATGTCGAGGCTGGCGGCGGCTGGCCTGCGCAGTATGTATCCAAGCCATCTCAGTCGACTAAGGTTCCCAACTCCATCAATTGACTTGCAAGCCTGTCTTGCTTATTGCCCTTTGCCTGTTCTCAACATTACTCACATGGTGATTCCACCAAACGCGTGCAATGCTGTGAAGACATCTGTGATCAAAACCCTGTAATCGCTCCATGTCTTCTACTTTTAACGGCCATGTCTCACAGCTGTACAACAGTTGAGAATGGACTGCAACGTAGTATACTCGTCCTGTGAAAGGTGGTACGACATCTCGCCAGTCGGTGTGACAGATGACGCAAGTTGGCTAGTGCCAAACTGGCCTTCTGTATCCGGGCTGAGAGGTCGTCAGTAACCATCCCGTTCAGGCTGACGCAGCTTGCTAAGCAAGTGAAGTGGTCGACACGCTCAGCGACTTCACTCTACATCATTAAAACGGGAGTAGTTGTAGACCAGTCCTGGAGTACTATCTTACATTTGACAGGTGTCAGCGAAACGCATGCCAACCCTACTCAGGTTTCTGCTCAGCGTGTTCAAAAAACTCTGCACTTTGTCAGCGTTTCCACCCAGCAGGACAATATCGTCTGCATACTCCAAGTCAACCAGATCGGCTATAGGAAGTAGGTCAATCCTTGTGGAGTCACAGGAGTCTAAGCTTACTTTTACTATTTTTAGTTTTACTTAATGTACTACAGCAAAGTTAAGTAGGAATGGCGACAGTGGGCATCCCTGAAGGACTCCACTGGTTATCTTCAATGCTGATTACAACTCTCTATAAGCCCTTAACACTTCTGCGTGAGTTTAAGTAGAGAGTTTTGATAAGCACTATATATTTACTCCATACTCCTTTTAGAGTCAGACACTGTCACAATACCTCACGGTCGATAAAGTCAAATAGTACCTTCACGTCAAGAAATATGGCAATTGTCGGCTGTTCCCCAGAAGGTATGCCAATATTCCAGAACCTATCGCAGGGTGGAAATTTTATCGATAAACCCTCTTCCAGGTC